ATTCATTGCAGATATACGAATTGAAATGAATTGTGAGGCCAGATTTATGGTGTTTTATTTAAAATCTACCAATAACCATGAATATATTTACAACAGTTCTATGCCCTTTACTCTTGATTTACTCCAGGGGTCCGTTACATAGCTTTCTACCCCGGCACTCTGAACGGCCCACTGTCTATCGCCCTCCCCAGCCCGGTGTCCCACGTGCCAGTCTTCAGCTCCCAGCTGTCCGACCACATGAGCCTCTGGGGTCGTGCAAAGAACCTCTTTTATTCTGTCTTGTCTCCTGTTGGTAAGAATGGTCTTACATTAGAGATCACATAGTGTCTTTGTTTGCCTTTCACAATAACACGCATGTTTAGGGTAAGCCACATGACACTCTAGATAATATTTGTATAGATGTCATGGTTATTTTACATTATATTTCTTCTCACGTCTCATTCTTCTCTCAGTTCTCTCAGCTGCTTTTCAGGACATAATGTGAATTAAAAAATCCATCCTTTTTTTCTTTATCATCATTTCCATTTCATTTTTTATTTCGACAAATTGTACATGTGGTGAGCATGTTTACATTTGTTTCCATCATATATAAATCTTTCTTCTTTGCTCCATTTTTAACATTGTTCCCATCTGCATTGGCCTACTATCCTGATTTAAAAAGATGTACTTTCTATTTGTTCCTTAAAGAATGCTCTGTGTTTGCAACTAGTCAGCAAGTGGTTTAGCTTAAACTCATTAACAAGTAATACGAAATCTGACTGACTTCTAAAATGTTGAGCATAAATGTGAATGATGTGTGTATTGTTTCTTATCAAAGGCCAGGAACTTGTATGGCGGACATTTAGGGAAGTAGCTGAGCGCCACCTTGAGTCGGGACCCCCCCCTGGAGGTCTGAAGGAGTTACATGGAGGAGCTGAACTCTGGGCCTTCAACACTGACTTTTCACTGGAGTTCCCCCAGCCCCTCATGCCTTACACGGTGCTGGTGGGAGGTCTGCTGAGTAAACCTGCCAAGCCTCTGGAGCAGGTCTCTTCTCTTCATTCTCATATCCAAATGTCCAAATCCAAATCCATCAGTGTGACTAAGATTAAAATGAACAAGCCTTCCTTCCCTCTCTTGACCTTTCTCACTCCCCCTTCACTTCTTCATCTACATCCTTCTCTCCCTCATCCTGCCTTAATCAACTATGTAAATGTCCCTTCACACATTTCCTGTATTACCCATACCCAAACCCTTTGCAGGATCTTGAGTTGTGGATCTCGAGTTTTGGAGAGGCAGGTTTTATTGTCGTGACTTTGGGATCAATGGTGTCCTCAGTCTCTGTGGAGCGTCTGCTTGTGGAGCTAGTGGCCGGCTTCTCTAGGATCCCTCAGGGGGTTTTCTGGAGGTGAAAGCATTACACCATTCATACAGGCATAATAAATAACACTTTTAGCTTTCTTCCTCACAGATCTCACTTTTGACAAAGACATAAATGATGGGAGGGAAAATACAAATATTTTTCCAAAATTATGGAAAAATATTTTTTTTAATTTTTTTTTTAAAAACTCTATATGTAAGGATGTTGAGGGAAATGCCTACAAATGCAGTGTTTGGCTTGCAGGTATGACCCCATGCGCTGGCCATCTCATCTGGATAAACCTTCAAATCTCATGATAGGGGACTGGCTGCCTCTTAATGATCTGCTGGGTAAGAGCCTGTCTTATTCTAACCGGTTAAAAATATTTTAAAATTGCGGGCATTACGCACCACCTGAAAAACGATTAAAACAAACAATTTCAAGATTAATCGTGAATGCATGCAACTTCAATTTCGAAGTAATACAAAACAACTCAACTACTTGCTTTAATGTTCAGTTAAACAATTTGATCTAATTTAGAGTAGGAGTAAGATTCAAATACAGCAAGAATGATCATGGTCGCTGCTCTGTGGTGTAATTATCTTGCTGTGCCTCCCCATCCAATGAGTGTTGGCAGTGGTTTAGCCCTCAGTGTAATGAGCCTTAGCCTATAAGATAGACCAGTGATGCTGAACCTTCAGCAAGATAGGTACCATGCAAGACTCCATTAAGAATAAATCATCAAAATAGACACAAAGAGCTTGATAATTTTCAAAAGGCTCGAGAGGAGGATCTTCCTGACAGATGTCCACGATTCATTGACTGTTTATTAATTTCTCTTATTTTGCAAAAGTGGCCCCCGCAAGTTCAGTATCCCAGAGTAAGACTGTTGTGTTATTCTGTACTAAACCACAACACTCTAACTTCCTCTAATCAGTGATGATGTTTTCCCTATTTTCTGTTTACCCCAGGCCACAATAAAGCTCGTCTCTTCATCACCCATGGTGGACAAAACAGCCTGCTCCAGGCGGTGTACCATGCTGTTCCTGTGCTGGGAATCCCTCTGTTTGGGGATCAGTTTGATAATGTGGTGAGGGCTGAAACAAAGGGACTTGGCCTCACCATCAACCCCACACACATCACCAGGGAGCTGCTCAGCTCCACAATTCAAAAACTCACACAGGACATCAGGTACAGTATGTGGGCAACATTGGAGATGACAGTACAGCACAGATATGTCTCTAATTCGATTATATTCCTTTTTATAGGATCAAGTCTTCAGCTTTGTCCCTTAGCAGGATCCACAAATCTCACCCTGTCCCTCCAGCCCTTCGACTCATCCAGTGGGTTGAGCACATCCTGCATAGTGGAGGTGGAGCTCATCTAAGGCCTGCTTCACTGACACAAGCCTGGTACCAGAGATACCTGCTGGACCTGGCGCTTCTTCTCTTCCTGGGGTTTCTGGGACCTGTAGTTCTCTGCTGGACTTTCTGTAGGAAGAAGAATAGCAGGGACAAACACAAAAAAGTACAATAGCAATACTAAAGGACACTTTAGATGTTTAATTCAGTTCTGAGATTGAGTTTATGTTGGACTTGCACCAATGCCAATATGAAAACTTACTGCGAACCTAAAATACTGCCGAAGTACAACTAATAATCCAGTCTTGTTGTAATCTATTCATAACAATTCACCAGAAAATATTGGTATTTTAATTCAGAAGAAAGAATTATCAAAAGAAAAGTTGAAAACAATAAAAGAAAACATCATTTTTTTAAGGATTTCACATAAATGTGCAAAAAATGCATTAAAAACTGTTTTGATTGTAGGGTAGGAATAACGTTGCATAACTTTAATTTGCTCGAATTTGCATACTGAATAGAGTTTCATATTCTGCGTTTCCAGTTTCTCTTAAGCCAGTAACCTTTTAATGCCAAGTGTCCTGCCCTCTCCCCTCCCAGCGCCATCGTGACTACCAGACATCTCATTTGTCCTGCAGTGCCACATTGTCCAACACCTCTGTGCTGCTTTGATCTGACTGTGCTGCAAGCAAGGGTGGCTGATAGTAGGCATGCAAACACCCACCAAACACTGCTTTTGTGCTTTTGTGTTGTTTCGTGTGGCAGCCAGCCTAAGAGTAAATTGATGTTTGTTGAGACATGTTTTGTGCTGCAATGCTAGGCTAGATGGGTACTTTTGTGTAGATGCAATATATTGATGGTCATAGAATATACCTGAACTCTCAAAAAGGTACGCTCTACCTGGAGAGTGTGTCTATGCACGTGTGTATCTGCATGTGTGTATTTGGGGCAGCGTAATGGTCTACTGGCTCTTCAATTATCAACCACCTGCAAGTCTCCCCTCTGACCCCCACACCCTCCTCTGCTGGTTTCCGCTGAGTGTCCTTCCCCTTTCTAAACAAGGCACAAAAGCGTACAGCAGCGTTCACGGTCAGCGCTCAAGCCATCCTTGAAAGCAGCTCAAGCCTTGGAGGACCCCCCTCTCTGTTCTGTCCTCCCTCCCACTCTTCACATCTGTGTTGGGGGTTAGCAGGGAGGAAAATATAGATTAGCAAGGAAATAATGACCAATTAGGACAGCTTGTTCTGTGTCCATTCAGCTGTCCATTCTTTCATTCCTTCCCTGCATTTCATTCGTCTGTTGGGCTGGCAGTTGAAGGTGCCAGTGAGTCTTCCTCTGTCTCGCACGCAATCCTAAACAGGCAGGGCAAAGCAGCCAAAGCATGAGACAACAGGACCACCGGTGGGGAAAAAAAGGAAAGAGGCAAACACAGAGGAAACTTTAATGATGAAGAAGAAGGACACAACAATGAAAAAGAAAACACAGACAATTATTAAAATCAGAAACAAAGCTTTGAGAAAAAGAAGCTTGAAATAGTCATCATTAATAATATAACTACAATAACATTTTTTTGTTGTTGTTATAAGCTAGAAATTAAATCATTTATTTTAACTTGACTAACAACCATGGCATTTAGGCAAAACAGGACTACTTCAGGTGACCTCCTGTCACAAGCAAGATACTATCAATTAAAATACAAGGACAATGATAGTTGCATCACAATGTCATACGATGGGGCAAGAGGGAGGAAATAATTGATGTAAAGGTTCTTAAATCATGCATGTGTTATTTTTAACTCAGAGGGATGTGTAGTGGTTTTGATGTGTTTTTGTTAAGTGTGAAAAAAGGATGTTTTGACATAACTTGCATTAAAACTGGATCTACCTTAGTAGCCTGTTCCTGTCTGTCTTTTTTCTTGTTTTTTTGTCATTTAAATTAGGCTTGAAAATAGTGACACAATTGAAACAAAATATCTATATATTTCTGTAAGATTTGTTGTATTTATAATTTGTAGTATATTTATGAATATGTTCTGTAATTATTGAATGTCTAAAGTGAAACCCTAAATTCAAAGACAAAACGATAAATATATTTGATGGGCTTTAATGTTTAGCTTGGCTATTGGCTCTGTGAGTTTCAGTGAGTAAGTAACAGGCAAATGGGAAGATAGAATCAGACAGTAGAGAAGGTGACTGTTGATGGATTTCATTTATCTGTACTGTTTGTGGATTATAGCTCCATCTAGTGACCTGGGAAGAAGACCTAATGTGAATGAGAAAGTTAATCTTGTGCCTAAAAAAACATGATTTATAAAACAATAGTTAAGCCGCGACTGTGGCTGTGAGGGAGTGTGGTCGTCTTTCAACCAGAAGGTTGTGGGTTCGATCCCAGCCCATGCAGTCAACATGTCGATGTATCCTTGGGCAAGATACTTAACCCTGAGTTGCTCCCGATGGCATGGCCAACGGTGTGTGAATGTGTGTGAATGTTAGGTCCTAGAGTAAGGTACACTGCTCTGTATGAATGGGTGTGAATGGGTGAATGACATGTAGTATGTAAAGCGCTTTGAGGGGTCTTAAAGACTGGATAAAGCGCTATATAAGTACACTCCATTTACCATTTACCATTTAAGCCCAATTCTAGGCCTACTTATAAGCAAGTAAATATTTTCAAATAGTGTTACTTAAGTTAAATGTTCTGAATCTGGTAGGTTAATACCAATGCACTGTGACTATACCATTAAAATACTAATACACTGTTAAGATTGTGTGCAACTATTACTGCACCACTAGATTCACTGAAATCCTTTTTTTTTGTCTGGCTGTACTTAAAAAGATTTTACAAAAATATAAAGACAGTTATACAATTGTATTGCATATCATTAAGTGTTTCTAATATTTAACTTATCCTCATTATATTTGGATGGCCAAATATTGAAGGGACAAAACCTTCATGTTTGAACTGCCCCTTGTTCTTAATTTGAGTATTACTTTATGTTTATTCTTTTGCTCCACAATTAACCACGTTTAAGAGGGAAGCCTTGCACTTTCCCACTACATTTAGCTAAAAATAACTCTATATTAAAGATGAGATTTGGTACACAAAAATATGACGAACTATACAATGAAGCAGTTATAGCCTATACATTAAGTTACCTAATTCAATGTATAGATTCATTGGAAATTATCTTTCTTCTGAACCCCCTACAATGTTATAATGCTGTTCAGGGTCATGATCTCAGAGGAAATAAAACATTTTTTGTAGATTCATGTAATGTTATGTGTTCAACATTAAAACACAACATACAATGTCATATTTAAAAGTGTCTTTCCGCCGCTAGGGGAGCGCAATGCCATTTTTTAGAGGATGTTCCTCATAAAAGTCTGGTGACTTGCACGAACCTGATTGGTTAAAATGCTGTCGTTTCATTGGTCAGGGTCGACAACGTGGGCGTGGTTAGCCGTCAATGTTTATGTAGCTCTCTGGTCGGCGTATACGTTGCAAGGACTCTGCTATGTGATTTCCTGACATTGATTTCTTTTATAGCCTCTGTTTTGTTATGCACCAGCTGTTAATATGGGGAAACACTAACAGGTGAAACACGGAGGATACCGAGGAAAACGCCGGAATGGCAGGCGCCTTCAAAGGCTGCCAGAAAATTCGAGGTCCGCAGCTTAGAAACCTGCTGGAGGCGAAGGACTTCATCCTGCTGGACTGCGATGGGGTCCTGTGGCACGGAGAGAAGGCGGTGACGGGCGCGGCGACAGTGGTGAATTCGCTGATACGGAACGGTAAAAACGTAGTGTTCGTCACCAACAACTGCACCAGGCCCCGGGAGAAATATGTGCACAAGTTCTCCCGGCTCGGCTTCACTGACGTGAGGCTGGAGCAGATCTTCAGCTCGTCGTACTGCTCGGCTCTCTACCTGAGGGACGTGGTGAAGATCAGCGGCCAGGTGTTCGTCATGGGCTGCGAGGCTCTGCGCTCCGAGCTGCAGGAGGCGGGCGTCCCCTGCGTGGAGGACGCGGAGGACCCGGACGCCACCATCTACAACTGCCCCCTAGCCCCGGACGTCAAGGCAGTGCTGGTGGGACATGACGATAAAATGACTTTTCTCAAACTGGCCAAAGCATCGTGCTACCTGAAAGACCCGGACTGTCTGTTCCTGGCCACCGACATCGACCCCTGGCACCCTCTGTCAGGGGGCCGGATACTGCCAGGTAGGTGGTGGTGATGCCTCCATTGTTAATGCTCGGCCTCTCCAGTGTTATGCACTGCACTGAACTTGTATTGGTGCCAAGTACCCTTGATAGATTATTATAGGGTTTATTAGGCACAGGCCCCAGTTTTCAGCTAGAGCTGGAACATCAGTTTGGTGTGGCCATTAGAATTTCTCATTGATTTTATTTCTTTTTTCATTCATTCACCCACTTTTCCTACAATAGCTTGAAGTTGCACACTTAAGCTTAACTAAATAATTATTACCAGTGGTAAAATAAGTATTGAGATAAATTGCTTTAGTACAAGTAATAATACCACACAGTGAACAAATAACTCCAATACAAGTAAAAGTTCTACATGGTTTAATCCCATACATTTCTTTCATTTTGGTATTCACTGTTTAAACTGAAATACAAAAAACACTGGGTGAAAAGATGCTGGAAAATAAGAATAAGCTAACAGAATGAGCCTTTGTTGTGATAATTAGACTATATTGGTGTGTAAAGAAACGTTTTCATTTCCCAAAGGAAGTGCAGAACACCTGGTTAAAATGACATTGTTTCTTGAAAAAGTATGTAGCTGTACCTTTTCAGATTTTGTATTTTTAAGCTTTTTGCACCAGAATATAATTTAGTGCAGATACCATACCTCAAAAATGGGCAGAAAGAAAACAACATCATATGTGTGGCTATATTTGATTTATGTTCAAATCTTTAATGGGGATTGATAGCCATTCTTCACACTCACTGTGCTTTGTTTATGTACACCATCATCCTCAAGGGGTCTACTATTTGAAGAGCAAGAAAGCCTGCACATGACAGTTTCATTGTATTATTTCTAGGGTAAATATACCATATATTTATACCATAAATGTACCCTACAATAATGCAGGACCTGTTAAATGCCTTTTAGCTTTAGCCCTGTATATTGCCATATGTGTTGCGCGTGCCATAATTGTTACTTATTAATACAGCCGCAGTAATGTGAGGCTCCAAGGTGGTTTTCAGTTTTGTCTATTATGTAATCAAGTTTAAGTTTCAAGAACCTGCAAATGAATTTTTATGTTGCACTTAAAGGTAGTGAAACAAGTGTCTCTCTGTAATGAAGCAATAATGTGTTTAAGATAGCTGCTGGCAGTTTCCTTAGATTGGAAATGTTAGTTAAAAGCAATGAATGAACTGCATACCTAAGTTATATAGACTTTAAATCAGATAATGTAAATTGGGGCTGTGAGATACGGAAAAAGTATTGATATTGCAATTTAGCAGACAAGGATTTTAAATGCAGCTTGACTGGTTGAGGGAGTTTTACAGCAGTAAGTCATTCTAGTTAATCATAAAAAATCTTGGTTATTACTGTAGGATTTGTATGAGATTTGTAATGGACTAGCACATGCAATACAATGGCCACAGAGGCACTAAAACCATAAATCAACATTGCAGAACTGTTTGTGATAGGTGGGTTGTCGTTGCTTTTTGGTACTTAGACAAAATACTTGAGGGAGTCGGGTTAGTGTGTGATTGTTGGAGGACATCTCTTAAGATTCACTTTAGTCTAACCTTTTTATCTTCACCCCCGGCAGGGTCTGGGTCCCTCACTGCGGCCCTGGAGGTGTCCTCAGGTCGTAAGGCCACAGTGATCGGGAAGCCCAGCCGCTTCATGTTCGAGTGCATCTCCAGTCAGTTCGAAGGGGTGGACCCCGCCAAGTGCCTGATGATCGGGGACCGTCTGGAGACCGACATGCTGTTCGGGGCCAACTGCAGGCTGGACACCATGCTCACTCTCACCGGGGTGTCTCAGACCAAGGATGCGGAGGAGTACAGGGATAGTGAGCTGACCACCAACCATAGCTTTGTGCCCGACTACATAGTGGACAGTATCGCTGATTTCTTACCTGCTTTTGAGGAACAGGACGAACAGACCAATTGACGAGTCCTTCGGCCTGCAGCTCGAAGCAAAGATAGCTTCTGCTGTATTGCAGTGTTTAGTGTGGCTTTTGCTCCTACCTTATCCAAAACTAGAAATGTTTCTCAGTAACAAGAAGCTGTTAATGTTGCGACTGACGCGCGTAGAATAGAATATTCGCCCCAAATAATCAGTAATTCAGTGTTTACCTCAGTGTTTCTTCTAGTGTTGTGCCCATTTGTGACTTGACAGTTCCCCAGTTGCTGTAAGCGTTTATATTAATATATGAAAATACAGCACTTTCTTCTTCATAAACTTCATAGGTCGTGTTTGAAATTGGCTTTGAACCTCCAGAGTTATTTTTGTAAAGCCATGGATTGTTGTCTAACGGAATTCATGCGTCTAGGAGTTGGTTGTTATTTTATTTTTTGCACAAAAGCAGACATGTACTAACAGAGTGGTATTCTCATATGTGTTCGCCAGAGTGTGACTTCTCCTAATACTTGGCAAGAAGAGATAATTTAAAACTAAATCTGACAGCCTTTCTGCACTCTGGTGGAGACTAAGAAGACAATCTGCTAGTCAGATAGGTGACGTGTATATTCACCTTTCTATCATGTCTGTATTAATGTGCCAGTATTCATAAGAACTAAACAGCTTACAGAATCTGATACTTAGAGTCTTAGACAACCATTTACACATTAATGGTGGCCAATCATACTGCACTGTTGTGAAATGTCAATGTTGTTAATGTTTACCATAGAGCATGCTAGCAACGGTAACAATAAATGCCTAAAATTATATGAAGTTGTTCATCTTTTTACGAGTCCTTATCTTCTGCTTGTTTTGTGTCAACGCATCTACATCAAGCATGATAAGAACACCACATATAAAATACAATATTCTTTTAATAGTTTGAATCCAGCAGTAGTTCACATGAACTGAACACCATTTCACTCCTTACTTTTGCAACTTGAGATCCAGCATATTCTGCCTTATGTATTCTAACACACAGATCGGTCAATGTATTGCAGTGAAAGACATGAAAATCAAACTAACCTTATCATTTTCTTGTATGTACCAGAGCCTCATGCTACAATTAAGGTGTGGTGATATAGCAGGGGAAGTGCAAGATAATAGGAAAATCTTTAGATGAGCTGCTATAATGTAAAAACCAAGGTTTTAAAAGAAGCCTGTGGGTAATATGTGCTGTCCCTATACAGGATATAATGGAACCTGCTATTGTTAAAGCTCTGCTGTGTGTAATACAATGAAGATATCCCTCAAGTATGAACTTAAATACAAACACATCTAAAATAATCATATGTACATTTTAACAGGCTTTATGCAATACTTTATTCTACATCATGTCTCATGTGGCAATAGGTTATCTTGTGCTGAATAACATAGTTAAAGACAAGTAATAATCTCTAACAAATAAGGACTTTGGTTGCAGTGAACAAGTTGCTTCATGTCACTCTGGTCCCCCACGCTGTGAAGAAAAAAAGCATAAAACACGTTTAAGGTTTACTGTTTCAGATTTTGCCTCCTGTTGTAATATGTCTATAAATGGGTTACATTTGTATTTTAGAGTGTACTGAAACATCAACTTATGTATAACTACAGTACTAATGCAGACAACCGTTAAAACCTATAGGAGTCTTAGGGCCAAAGGTTACTATGCAGGTTTATTTTAACTCAAGGACAAAGGCCATGTGGTTCTCTGAGTGTTTGTGGCTCTATGCCAGGGGGTCCCTGAAAAATTGAAATAATAAAACCTATTCTAACTGATCTATAACTCCATATCTGCAAACATGTTTAATATGTGTTTCATACAACTCTCTTGTGGTTCTTTACAAAACTCAAGACCTTGGAAGTGTAAAGAAATTACGCTACATCAAATTATTCCAAAGGACAAATGGGGAGTTCCTGGTAGATTCTATGTTTTGTAAAGGGTCCTTGGTTGATTAAAAACATATAGAACCTCTGTTCTAACTGAGACCAAATGCTTTAGGGCAAATTGTCTTGTGTATAGTCTAAAGTCGGGTGTTCAGTGTGGCCCCTCACCTGGATGTAGTCCATTTCCTCCACTGTCATGGGTCTCCTGCGGTACCTCGCAGGGAGAAGCTGAATGGAGGCCAGGCTGTCCGCCGTGCCAGAGATCGGGGTCAAAGGTACATGAGGTCTTGGAGGCGGCGCTGGAGCCTTGTGTGGAGAAGTGTTAACCACTAAGGTTTTCAATACCTCTACGACTAAAAAAAGGATAGAAACAAAATCACTATGAATAAAAGGCAACTCAAGAAGCACTAAGAAGAGTATACATCTTATTGAGTATTTTATTATCCTATTGTAAAAATGTATCAAAATGATTGCAGTTTTACTGTAAATGCAACCAGAGAAAAATACACCTTGAAACAATAAAATAGGCCCAGAACAACTTAACAGTTTACATCATCATATGCATTAAGGTCATCGTGGACACTATCCGTCCATTATTCGCCTTCTTTATACTCACCATTGGGCCTTGGGAACTCTTGTCTGTTGGGGAACTTGATGAGAGGTGCGTGAGGCCGAATAGCCTGCTAACACATAAACATTAAAACAGCGGCGTGAATAATAACTTGTCTATGAATTGACAGGTCCAATAACCCTAAATTAAACACATATTTAACATTTTATTATGAGGTATTCACATAGTTTAGCTTTTTATTTGCAGTATCCCTGCTGAGATCTTTAATAACGCTGTTGCAGTACGGTTGCAGATCCTTAGACAGTCCAAATCCACATAAAACAATGTTGACCTGTTTGCTGGGATACTGACAGTGATGGAAGCTGTGCTTCAACTCCTTTATGCTGTTGGGCAGTTTAATTGATTAGAAACACAGCTCTGATTTCTGCATTGAGACAATGCATTGTTTAGCTGATACAAGAGGGTATTAAAAATAGCCTAGCTTGACATGAAAAATATAAAAAATGTATCTGAAAAGTAATGTAAACTGTAATATAAATATTTTGGAGTAATAAGTACAATATTTTCCTCAGAAGTAAGAAGTTTCAAAAAAAGGAAATACTCCAAACTAAGTACCTTAAATGTATTACTTGGGCAAATGTACCTGAATAAAAGTACTACGTAGAATAGTGTGTCAAAGTCTGTGAGCCGTCGGAGAAAGTTTGGTTCAAAAAGCCTTGTTTCTTTTCAATAGCTCTCGTGTTATACGACCCATTGATTCCCAATCCATACTAGACCTTATTAATACACTAGGCAAGTCGAAAACATCTATTTTCTATTGAATGGAAGTCTGTCTTCTATCTTATATTTTATGAAAAAAACCTCAATGACAACAAATCAAAGCAGCATTGATTACTACACTGGACTAGTAGGACGCACCTGTTTTTATTGGATTTTTGTGATTATTCTATTTTAAACACATGTTTTACAAAACTCAGCTGCTTCTTTAAATTGTAAACATTTTGGAATTTTAAGACCGCGGAGGATACACATGTGCAGCCTCGAAATATCTCGCTACGAAGGACGCCGGGCTCGGTAGAATTCCAAGGAGCCTGGACATTGGAACAGTCCTTCGGCGGGACTCGATGACGTAGCATACTTGAAATAGTGGCTCTGGAGCATCCTTCCTTGATGTGGCCTCCTAGCTCCTCAACTCCTCCCCCATAATCACTTTACTCTTTCCCGGGGTCAGGCAGAAGAAAGAGTCAAATAATCCGGGTTAAGGTTAAACTAGGGATGTGTTAGAATGTGAGGCAAAATCGCCAGCGTACCTCCCAGGCGGTGTAATGTAGGGTAAGGTTTGGTTGAGCACCCCTCACCCACTATTTCCGAAGAGGTTGTCTCTCCCAA